AATGGGAGAATACAAGAAGCTCCATCCAGTTGTATTCTATTCTCGAAAGTTCTCTGCTGCTGAAATCAGGTATGAGATCCATGATAAGGAACTTCTTGCTATAGTGGATTCTTTCCAAGAATGGCATCACTTTCTTGAAGGAGTTGCACACCTAGTGACCATATATACAGATCACAAGAATTTGGAGTATTTCACATCGGCTCGAGTTCTAAATCGATGTCAAGCTTAGTGGAGTATGTTGCTATCTAGGTTAATCTAGGTTTGATTTTGTGATCATTTATTGACCTAGAAAGCAGCAAGGACTATTTGATGCCTTATCTAGGAGATTGTATCTTGTACCAAAGGCTGGAGAAGCAGCGTTTGATCAACAATGTACGATATTGTTGAAGCCAGAGCAATTTCAGCTTTGCATTACTATTGTGCCAATTGATGCTGACTTCTTGAATTAGGTACGTGCCGTGACCATTGAAGATTCAGTAGCCATTGATATTAAGCAGCATGCCAATGACGACAAGTTTGAAGTGGAGGGAGATCTTTTATACTTTGAGGAGCAGTTATATATCCCAAAAGGACCAGCATGACTCCGAGTTCTTCAATCTCGCCACGATTTTCCAATTGCGGGACATTTTGGATTCAATAAGACCTTGGAGCTTATTTCTCGAGATTTTTGGTGGCCCCAAATGTGAAAGGATGTGAAAGATTTTGTCCTCTCCTACGACATCTGTTCAAGATCTAAGAATCCTCGGCATCGCCCATATGGACTCGTACAGCCATTACCGATTCCACGTCGACCATGGTCTTCAATTTCCATGGACTTCATCACGGATCTGCCATCATCGAACTCATTTGATAGCATCTTTGTCGTGATAGATCAGCTTACAAAGATGGCACACTTTGTCCCTTGCAAGAAGACATCATTTAGTGAAGTCACAGCAAGGCTCTTTCTCGATAATGTGTATCGATATCATGGACTACTAGATGATATTGTATCAGATTGAGGAATCCAGTTTGTATCAAAGTTTTGGAGATCTCTCTTTGAGATACTGAAGGTGGATATCAAGCTTTCTTTGGCTTTTCATCCTGAAACTGATGGCCAAACGAAATGGGTGAACTAAGTCTTGGAACAATACTTACGATGCAACATCAACTATCAGCAAGACGATTGGACCACATATCTGTTACTAGCCAAGTTTACATATAACAACACCCTCCATGCGTCGACTCAATACACACCATTCTTTTTCAACTATGGGTATCATCCGAAGCTTGATTTATTGAGTCCGTCAACAAATAACAATCCAACAGCTGAAGGATTTGTAAAGCAACTATCACAGCTTCAAAATACGTTGAAGCTCTAATTATAATCCGCTCAAGAATCCTACAAGGCGTCTGTAGATAGATTTCGGAATCAAGCATCTACTTTCAAAATTGGAGATAAAGCATGGCTTCTTCGATGGAATATCAAGACCAAGCGACTATGTGATAAGTTGGACTATCAAAGATTGGGACCATTTATCATCCAGAAGCAAATCAATCCAGTGGCGTACCGTCTAGAATTATCGGCTTCTATGAAAGTACATCTAGTCTTTCATGTTTCTCTGTTAGAGCTTTATCGAGAGTCATCTTTTCCTGGAAGAATGCAATGTCCGCCACCTAGTATTGAGATCGAGAACCACGAGGAATACGAGGTTGAAAAGGTGTTGGATTCACGGCGAAGGTGGGGCAAGTTGGAATATCTTGTTCATTGGTGCAACTACAACATTAATGAGTGAACGTGGGAGCCAGCTGAAAATCTCGCCAATGCGCCATAAAAGGTACAGGAGTTTCATCAACAACATCCTCATAAACCTAAGCCGATTTGACGATAGCTTCCTTCTGAAGCTTGCTCACCCAAGAATATAAGAAAAGGGGAGAGCACCACCAAAATTCGTAGTTGATGTAGTTATTTTTTCCAAGATAAAATAGAATTTTTTCAGTAGCCATAGTTTGGTCTTCTGATATGGATAGCCAAGAGATAGATACTATGCGAGTCAGATTATCTCAACCGACTAGCTCACGAAGGCGACCTTGAGATGAAGAACTGCCTACACAACGACAACGACGGAGGATACCAAATAATCGATCACTGATGATTGTATTTGAGTCCGAGCCTGCTTACGATGGTCAGCCAGAAGGCATGTTTGCAGAACAATTTTACAATGAGGACACGAAAGTTCATGCTTGGTCAGAAGTTGAAGGAGTGGGCTACTATCGTTGGCTTTAAGGGCCGATGAACCACTTGCCTCGTGAACAACAGTTGGAGTTCATAGCAGACATTATATGACAGATCTTTATTTTCTTGCATTGGTACTGATTAACAACAACATTGCTTCTCAGAGACCTCGAAGCTAAAAGAGGGGGTGATGTTAAGGACATAATTCTTAGAACCTTCTAGAGACAAGTTTCTAGAACCTTCTAAAAGCTTCCTAGTTAGTAGAAGTTGCTTAAGAAGCTTCCTAAATAGGAGTATATATTGGAATCGAGGCTGAAGAGTTCTTCAGTCTCGACAACACATCTCTTGGAGCTCTAGCTCACTTCTCTGGTGTATTTCTTGTATTCATCTGATTAATCTAGTTCTTGTCAGTTCTTCTTGAACTTCTTGTTAGATCTCGAGTCTGTATTTTTGTGTCTGTGACAGGATGTTATTTTATCACAAATAGGAACAGATAACAAGCTCCATCTTGTAGCTTTTTATTCCAAAAATTTTTGAATGGTCGAGATTAACTATGAGTTTTATAACAAAGAACTTCTTATAATTGTAGATTTATTTTTAAAATAGCATCATTATCTAAAAGGTATTTTTAGACTAATCACTATATATATATATATATATATATATATATCAATCACAAGAATTTCAAATACTTCATGTTGGCACGTATTTTGAATCATTGTTAAGCCTATTTGAATATGTCTTTATTAAGATTTGATTTTCAGATCACTTATTAAGTTGAAAAACAATAAGGTTTGTCAAACACTTTTTTAGATGTTTCTATCTTGTACCAAAATAATGTGATGTAGCTTTTGATTAACAAAGAATGATTCTCTTTAAGCCACAATATTTTCACCTTCAAGCAATAGAATCAATATTGATTGTTGATTCAACCTTTGTTAAGCAAATTCAATCAAGTATGTCATTTGATCTTCTTGTTCATGATATTAAGAATAATTCTTTTAAGTCTTACGATACTTTCAGCTTTGAATTTAAAAACAACCTATTATATTTCAAAAGATGATTATGTATTTTAAAAGGTAAAATATAATACTATATTTTTTAAGCTAATTATGACATTCCAATAATCAGATATTTTAAATACAATAAGATTTTTGAACTAATGTTGAGAGTTTTTTGGTGGCCTTAAATGTGGAAGGAAGTTAAAAACTTTATACAATCATGTGATATTTGTTCAAGATCCAAAACTCCTCGTCATCAATCTTATGGACTTTTCTTGCCATTATCTATTTTGGAACAACCATGGTCTTTTGTTTTTATAAATTTTATTACAAATCTTTTAGTCTTATATTTGAATGATTTTATATTCATGATAGTAGATTTTTTTTTATCAAGATAGAACATTGTGTATCATACACAAAATCTATCATAAGTAAAGAAACAACTAAGTTTTTTTTTTTTTTTTTTTTTTTTTTTTTTTTATAATATCTATCATTATCATGGATTATTTAAAGATAGTATATTGGACAAAGAGATCCAATTTATATTAAGATTCGAAATTTTTTTTTCAAGATTTTATATATATATATATAAAGCTCTCTTTGTCTTTCTATCCTTAATCTAATGAATAAATAAAACAAGTGAATAAAGTTTTGGAGTAATATTTGAGGTATATTATCAACTATTATCAAGATGATTAGACAATTATCTTATTATTGGCAGAGTTTACATACAATAATTCAATACATTATTCTATTCAATTTTTTTTTTTTTTTTACCAATTATGGTTATTTACCATGACTTGGTATTTTTGACTTTTCAAAAGTTGATAATCTTGCAATAGAAGATTTGGCAAATCCTTTATTAAAGCTATATTATAATATATATCATTCTTGAACTTCCTTTAATTGTGCCTATATTATGAAAATATTGTTCTTATTTATTTTTCTACATTTATTGAGAATATAAATATTTTGCTTAAACTTTGGTAACTTTTTTCATTTGGGAAACATGTCTTCTAAATTTATGTGCACTTCACTTGATCCTATTCCAATTGGGAGAGGCCTAAAGTGATCAAAAGTCAATACACTATTTGATAAAAAAGAAGTAAAACCCCAATAAACAATAATGCTTATATTTGTTGATCTTGCTATTGATAATTACTCACATGTTCGTTGTCCTACCTCGTAGGACTCTTCCTTCTCATGAAGAGATAGAGGGCCAAATTGTAGAGTGAACAACAGTTCCACCACATCCCAACACTGTAGAATGGCTGTAATTAGTATAAAAAACTGCACAAGTTGGGGGGGGGGGGGGTGGATATGGTGCCAGTTCCTCAATGACACACAAATTTCACAAATAACAAAATGGATACTATAGACAAGCCCTAACCCCTAACAGATTGTCTCCACTTTCAGCCACACCCACTTGTTACTCAAAAAGTAAACGTAAAAGAGGAAAAAAATCTCGCAATCAAGGTTTAGGCTTTAACTTTTCCGGAAACCCGAGGTCATCCAAAGCTTACAATATCATCTACATCAACGAATCATCCAGTGGAGGGCTAGCCTAGTGAGGGGGATTCGGAGGCTAGGAAAGATACTGTGCCACGCGGGCATCAAAGAGCGCGGGAGAGGTGAGGATTGGCCACGTTGACCGAAAGCAGGACGGGTGGGCATCACTTCCAGTGAAAGGAACCGGTTTTACCCACCCGGCCCGACCCGTGCCGACCTGGGCCCGTGCCGGCTTTGCCGCCCAGCTTTAGAGCGCACGGCATCCACTTTGGTTTTTTTTTTTTTTTTAATTTTTCCTGAGAATCGTGATTGTGCCGCTGGCCTGTTGCAATGTGGCGATTTGAACCCCGCGTTTAAATAAGATGGAGCATCTCTGGGGATTCGCAGTTGCAGGCGACGACGCCAGTTTGGGTGTATTGACTCCATTTCTGTCACCACCGTGAGCGGGTGTGAGGCAATTCCTTCCAGGAGACCTTGTTTTTCCCGAAGCTTTTCTGGAGGAAGCTTTGTTTGGTTCACAAATGGCCAGTGGATTGCCTACCACCGGTGATCCCTCTTCGTCCTCTCTCTCAAAGTCCGGTGCCGGAAGTAGCTCGCAGGATATAGTATCAGATTCAGAGACGGCGCCCTTACTTCCCCGCGTTTCCGATGCTCCGGAGCTTTCTGCAGCGTGCCGAAATTATGGTGCAACGCAGTCGGGCTTGAAGGCGAAGCTCTCACAGTATGAAATCCCTTTTTGGCAGGTAATCGATCAAGGTTTCGATTTCGTCCATTTTGATTTCATCTACAAATTGAAGAAATAGAGTTTTCTTGTTGTAATACCTGCGTCCAATTCCTATCTTGTTTTCGAAGTCTGTTTGTAGGTGTAAAGTTTTGTTTTGTTTTGTTTTGTTTTGTTTTTTTTTTTTGTTCTTTTTCAGTTCTTCGGCATGTGAATCTTCTGGTGCGAGTCCTCAGTATGTACTGTGTATTGTGATTACGTGCTCGAATAGAGTACTAATGTTTCTTACTCAAAAACGCTTAGTTCTCTTGCTAGCCAACTGATTGCTGCCGGCACAATCTTCACGACCGCTTGCCAAGTATTCGGTTCTGCATAGTTATGTCAACCCAGAAATACTTTATCAAGGATTATCGTTCTTGAGAAATGTAGTATTCGTGTGGTCAATCTTAGTTTCTCAATGACAACGACCGACTTTTTCTATGGATGCAGAACCAGCCTATGTGGAGCACTGGGCTGTTTGATTGTTGCGCAGATATGCCCATGTGTTGCTTCACCATGTTTTTCCCCTGCTTGGCGTTTGGCTGGAATGCCCAGGCTTTAGACGAGAGTAAAAACTCTTGCTGGACTGCAGCAACAGCGTGGTGGGTGCTCCAGCACACAATTGCGCTGGGATGCTTGTATTCCGCATCGTATCGTGGCAAGCTACGCTCCAAGTACAACATTCCAGAAGGTCCATTTTCTGACTCTCTCATCCATTGCCTATGCTGGCCATGTGCATTTTGCCAAGAGTATCGAGAACTTCATTACAGGAGCTTTGGGCCCGAGTCCTGGGGCCAAAGTTTTACGATTCCCCCTGCTGAACAGCGATTCCTATCTTCTGAAAGGAAGGATCCAGAAATGCTTGGCAAGAAATTTCGAAAGTCCAAGAAAGCTCTCAGGAAATAAACTGCTGTTTTACCATCTCCATGTTCCATCATGCTGGGATTGCCGTTAAAAGTCTCATGTAGGTTTTGATCATTAGGATCAAAGGCTCCCTGGGATCGATTCACATTACCTCGGAAGAGTCGCAGATGGTGAGCTAGATTAATTCAGCAGTAGAGATGTCCCTGTAGTGGGTGCAAGTCTTCATCCTCTGCTTAGCATGCCATGGTACCATAATTTTACGAGCTGATCAGATTCTAGAATCTGTGAGATTTTGTATCATATGTAGCTTCATATCAACATTAATAGTAGCATGGCTCTTTCCAGTGCTTGTGTCATTTACCAAGGTAACCCTCTCAGCGGGTACTTCTAAGCTATTGCCAACACATGGGGTAGAATGAGTCGACGAAAACGTACAAGTAACGAATAGATGGAGTGATTCGCAACTCAGTTTCAAGGCATCTGAATTAACTGCAATCACGATATCAATCACATCATTAGGTGTCCTTTTCAACATGAGTATCGGTTCTCGAGAATTGAAGGTTTTGGGGCTCCTCCATGCCCTCAATTCTCGAGAACAGAGTCAGTATCTGTCCCGAACTTGCTGGATCAGTTCCTGTCTCGCAAACACTGCGTTAGGATCATTCTGAATAGTGTGGCTCATTTCCTGTCGACCTCTGAAGAGTGTACTTTTGGTAAAGCGTTATTTCTTCAAATTTACAGTGCCGCTGCAAATATAGAGGCTCAGGACACACCTACACTTTTCGCAGATTGTGGGCACACGACATCGAAGGGTTTATAGAGTTTTCTTCTCGTAAAGAAAGATTGATCATTTACGAGGCAAATCGATTGAGATCAATTCAGGGTTTGGCGCAATTTTGCAAATGGTTCCTTATCCTTCTTTCCCACGATGACCTGGTATCTAATACATGCAAACGAAATGTGAACTTGTGTGATATTTGCCGAGTGATTCACAACGGATCCACCTACAAGCGCATGATCGAAACATTGGAAATCCTAAAACCTCTAAAGAATGCGTTCACAAACACCAACCAAGAAAGAACACGCAATGCGCGAAAAAGAGCCAGAAAGATGGCGATTGTACAAGCAATGTTGAAATGCGTTGGTGGGGTGCTCCATGCCATAAAAATACACATAGTCGAGGTTCCAATAGGGAATTGCATGGACCTAAGAAGAGTTGCACATGATCTTCGAGTTGGACGAGTTGAAGGACCGTAAATATGGATCTCTCTTCATAGTTCTCGTGTCTGACCGTGAAAGCAAACTCTAACACGGTCATCTATGTCAATGTGCTTTCGACCCGAAACCCACATCGTTCCTCTACCATCGTTCAGAATTTGTAGGAATCAAGATTGTTGAGAATCGTCAGGAATTGAGAGTTTATGGAACTTGTGCCAAAGCCACTGACTATCTATAGCTGCTTTGCAGGGCAAGCATTGATCCAGTGCATCATATGACAATTCGGATGGCATTGCTGCCGCAATATCTGTCCAATGAAGCGGATAGTGTCATTCTCCACCAGTCACGCTCCCTTGCTTAAGTATTTGAGCAGTCATCTTCGGCAAACTTGGAAGTGTAGGAGTTTTAAGAGTTGCATTGAATTCGGGTTCAGGGTCAAAGTTTCTAAAGCGTTCCTCAAGCTTCTGACGTACTTTGAATCATGTTGAATATTACCGCTTTAAAGTTTTTTTTTGTAAATCATCGTTGATAAATCATTGTAGAAGGTTTCGAGTTCTGAATATGCTTCTTTGTTCCTGCAGGACTAACCTCGAATTCCAGCACAATGTACGGGAGATGTATATATGCGAAGGGAACTGTTGATGCGGTTCTGATTCTGGCGAAGAAGATGAGCATGCGACTTTAATAACCACCCTGATTAATCTGAAGTTACCAAGTTCAGTAACTTGACAAACAGTTCAGAACGCTACTTTTCCCTTGAAGATACTACGTCATTTGCTTGTCACGGCACTTTGTTTTAGATTTCAAGTTTTGGTCTAAATGTGGTTTGTAGGATAGCGGTTCAATCGTCGCTGAACTTTCATTGTAATATGCAGAGTCGATGAAGGGCAAACAAGAAATTGTACAACCTGTTTGATGTTTTACGATAAAGGAATATGGAGTAACATTCAGATGATGTAATAGTTAGGCAAATCTTACGAAATAAATCTGAATTCAATTTTACTTTTCATTTCCAAAATTCTGCTGCCGATTCATTGCCTTAGTTATTACACACTTCGAGAAAGAAACCGACATAGATTACCTACTGACAAATCCATGTAATCGTTCAGGGCTGGTCGCATACGGTGAGGCAATAAGCTGGATGCTGACAGTCGCTTTCACTTCTTGTTGCTCGTAACTTTCATATCAACCCATCGTCAAATGTTTTTAGAATTAGTGGGTGCTTTGCATCTCATCAATGTCGGAGCCATTGTCCAGTTGTAAAGTTAGTTGTGAAAAGTGCGGGAAAGTGCTCCGTGAGGTTTGTTACATCTTAGAGTCTGGTGTGATTGTTGTGACCGGTCTAGATATGAGGCAATGTTCTCATTTGTAACTGTTGGGGTCGAATGCTCATTTGAGTGATTCCTTCGTAGAACAGCTTTTGATAATTCCAGTCGATGGATGGTTGGTAGACTCCAATTCATCCAGGTGGCGCTTTTGTTTAACTGTAGCGTCCTTAAGTTTCCTTGTCCATGTGTAGATCAATCCTAACTGCTCAACCCTCTTTAGTCCAAGTCCCGATGAGAGGATTTTGTTTTCTGTCGTGTGATATCTTCAGCATTGTAGGTGTACCGATCATTCTTTTCGTTCTGCGGTCTGCGATTATCACGCCATCGATACTTGTGGACACACTCTGTGGATCGAGTTCATGGTGTTTTGTGTCTCTTCGGTTGTAAGTCTTTACAATGGCACTGGAATTGCACCCAAAGTGTGCTAAAAATACTACAGTGACCTGATGGAGCGTTGATTATGGCGTAGTCATGCATGTGATGTCATTAGTGCCACTGAAACAACTCGGCCGTTGCGAAGGGCCCCAACAGCAATTAGATCTTTCGATAGGTTGCGTTGTCGAGTTGAAACATGGATGTCCTATGGCATGATTTCTATTCCAAAATATCTTAGATCTGAATTGGCGAAGGCTGAATCATCGAATTTTGGATTCGATTCGATTTTCATTGGACTAGGAAAATGGGGTCGATCGCCGTGACTTCGGACATTCGACAGAGCGCAATATGGGAGATGAAACCGCACATGATTTGTGAGAACTGTTATCTGCAACCCAGTCTTAATGGGTTTTCGTTCCTGCATGCGTTTGTGATGAGAATCTGAGAAGTAATCGAGAGGAACTTGGAGAATTTAAAAATGACCTAAACCTGGAGTAGGTAGTATTCTTGCAATGATAACTATCAAGCGAATCGTGCTTTCTCAAACGTGCTTTTGGTGCTTGTTAATGCCACATGAACGGTTTGCTTGAGGCTCTCGCTCAAAAGCTCTGCGAAGTGATGGAAGCAGATCCGTTAAACTTGGCCCATCTACTTTATTTCCTTGAGGAAACGAAGAAAACATGGAGCGGAAGTCGCTTGTCAAGTTATGTTAATCAAGCAGGAACAAAATTTGATCGGAGTATGCAGCATCCTCGGGATCAGCTGGCAAATATTGCCGTGATTTTGCTGATGTCGAGCTTGTGTTGCGGTCTTCATGCTCAAGGTGGCATTACCCCAGGATCTTTTGACTGAATCCTTTCACTGATTAGAGCACAAATGTTTCCTGGAGCCTCAAACTGGGGAATTGTTAGGAAGCACGTTGATGCAGTTCACATCTAATCTGTGTCTCTTCTCTATTATTTGCATGGCTTTTGGTTTTTTTCTTTCATTCTATCTTCGTTTGGATAACTTCCTTTAAAGTGAGATGTTGCTGATTTTAGAACTTGGGGGTTTGTTGGGTAGTCACCGATGACTATATCACCTCAGAAACGAATATTACAACTGTAGACACGAAGGTTCTTCTCATTGCCCCGCTTGGTGTGATCACTCGTGATAAAGCTGTATTTACCACTGGGATCACCATCCGCCCTATCTACATACAAGCGCCGACTGGTAATCTAATCTTTTTCCGTATGTAAACCTTCTAAGAATAATCACACCGTTACCGAAGTTTTTGTAAACGATCGTATGGATTCTTACCTACTGCAGTGATGTTCTCCTACAATTGTTGTTGGTTTTTCCTTGCAGGGTTGTACATGTCACTAACTATACAATGCAAGGGAGGCCAAACTCAGCTCAAAGTGCCCGATTATGTTGCCAACACTTCTGTGCTTCAGATCGACCACACGGGGGTGTGGAGGCCGCCACCAAATTCCATGAATGCCAACGGCACATGGTATTTGACTGGTCTAGGCATCAGGCTCTATCAGAATATCTCAGTCACTAACAACGCTCTTTTCACTCTTGGTTACAGCAAACATATGGCTAATGTACATACTTCTTAGCTTGTCTCTACTTAAATTGTTATGCAGCCTTCATGTGCTATGAGTTGAGTTTTCAGGATAAGTCGTGAATACCCAGAATATCTCAGTATTTTCATTTCGTGTCAGTAGATGCGCTGCTAGGTTGTGATTTCCTCGTGTGAATGTCATGCCTACCGTAATAAATTGGAAAGATAAGGCGTTGGTTGTAACGAAACCGAAGAACCATTCAGCTGGAGGAGGAAGATTGAACACCCAGCACTGGCATTAGCAGGGAGTCTCACCCAGTGGATTGAAACTGCCAAGTAATGACCATTAGTGCTTTGGTAGGTTGGGGGAAGCAGGATATTGCTGGAAAGGCAACGATGACGATTATACTAAGCTGGAATGTAACCGTCCCGTCTGACGGAAGTAACCACGCTGATTCGTTCATGTTCACCCGCAAGAGACGCATTTTCATCTGGGCACCAACTACTTGTTAGTTCGAACAACCTCCTTATGCTACATATTGTGCCTTGTGGACCATGGTATATGATATCTCCCTTCAGCTCTAGTGGCTTTTAGAGCTCTTTCTTTTCCATCAGACCACACTGCTTCCCTGCAGTATGAGCAACCCAAGTGTTGAATTCGCTTGATACTCTGACGTGTGTGGATCAGTGACGAGTTTCACTACATTCCACGCCACAGTGGTGGCGTTGTGCCTGCTGGGCATCTTTATCGTGTGCTGCCTTGGCTGCCTCAACACGGTTGCAATTCAAAAAATGCGCGCTTTCAGTGTGCAGGTTGCCAAGGAAACTCGACATAACCAGGAGTGTGAGCAGAACAGGGTGAGTGAAATCCATTTCAGTGAATATACGCGCAAATTGAGACACGATTGGTCTAAAGATACTGAATTTATTTCGAGATCATTTTTTGTGTGTACAATGCAAGTTTTTTCAGAGGATTTGGGAGCAGGTATGGCAATCTAACATAAGCCTCGCAGGTCTTTAATCCACTGTGGATACCGTGCGCACCGACCCGATCAGGATACTACAACGTTGAGTCAACTCCGAATTCATTCATGTTGCGGCAACGGCGTGCGGAGCTGAAAGCTAAGTACGTTATGTTGTCCTTATAAGATTCGAAAAGCATGGGTTCTGAAGTAGAGTCACAGGTTTCTGTAACTGAGCGTAACATACTGAACAAACGACAGTATTATTATTCTTGGGTCGGAGTGGTACGTCGTAATCATGTAATGTAAATTCCTGTGCAGGATTCTGCGCATGTCAACTCCATTCAGCCTGATAGACAGGTGCAGCACCTTTTTCTCTTGATCTCTACATCCACGCTGCTTTAATTACCCTCTACATGAGAGACCAATCTATTCAGCTCGTTCCTTCTCACTATTATGATCATAAACCCCCCACAATTGATTCCAACGAGCTTGACAAAGTATGGGCCAGCTTGTTCTCAACTATTTGCAGATTGACGAGAGTGAGGCATCTGAGGGCTGGAAAATACGCATGGGTATGTCGATGCCCAGGTGCACGGGCTTTACCAATGCAAGACTCGAGCAGTGATGACGAACAGCCATTGACATCCACTGTGGCTGCATCAAAGGGTCCTACATCAGCAACATCTACGAACAGAGCCAACAAACAATCCTCCCGTTGCTTGAGACCTTCCAGTAGTCATATCAAGAAACCTCACATAGACGAGCTCGTCATGGCAGGAGGAATTGTACAACAAAGAGTTCCATTTCGACTGAAAGGAAGCAGATCAACTAACGAAGAAGAAGAAGAAGAATCCACCATTGAGGAGTGACTCATGTATAGGTTCAGTACAACTCCCATTGTGAATTGCTACTGCAGCTTTCGATTTGGATAATCAGGCAAGCAGCAGCAACAGAATATGTTACCACACATTCTCAGCAAGCACCTCCAGTGATAATGTAACGAGTCCAAAAGAGCTTACAAAGTTACGAGTTGATAGACAAACATCCAAAGCAGCTAAGAACTGGGTTGTCAGCAATTCTAAACTATCACTGCATGTTGCTGGTGGGCACTCAGAGGATAGGGATACTTGTAGTGTGTGGGGACAGTGGCAACAGAAGCAAAAGCATATGGCTCTTAGTTGTGCTGGTTTTTGTGCCATGTGTTGTTTGACCTCCTAACCCTAAATCTAATCATGTTAACCTCAATCTCGTTATGATTCAGGTTAAAATCCTAGCTTTTTTGCATCCTAAACTTTTTTCAACTTTCATCCATTTTGTTATTGCGTGATCAAATTGAAAGTTCTAATAAATAAGTTTATTTTTTGATTCCAGTCAAATGTATATTTTTAATTTGAGAAAATTATGTTATATTTGCACCAAAATTGAGGGGATTTTTTAGTAATTTATTTCATTTTCGTACTCTTGTTCTATCAAAATTTACATAAAACTGAGACTCACGTATTTCTTGTGATGATAATCTAAGAAGATTTGTCCAAAAGAATCATAATTTTCCAACACATACAACCATCATAATTAAAAAAATTGTTTTGATCATACTTATTGCAACATAGTTTTTTGAAGTTTTAACACTATTTCTCTTCAATAATGAAAAATTAACTTTGGATGTTATAAAATAGTTATAACTTTGTTGTATACTAATCCTATTTAGGAATATCCAAAGTAACAATTAGTTGGTGACTACTACATAGAAGTATTACAAAAATTATAGAATATAGCAACTAATTATTAAAAATACTAAATTTGGTATAATATACAACTATTACTTGCCAAAAAAGATAAGCTTAAAGGAAAAATTATGACACATGCAATTCCAGCACAATATCAAATGCATGTTGAGAATAAATAAAGAAGAGCATGTGCTGCTTAATTAATAACCAATAAGATAGAATAAAAATTGACCAATTTAAAAAAACTTTAAGTGTAGAACTTTGAGTTGATTTTTTCTCGAATTTTAAATTATTTGCACTTCATAATTTTAATTTTATTTTACATGTTGATTTAGAAATTACCAAAAAAAAATATATATATATTTAGTTTATTTAGAAATCATTATTAAATTTATAAGAAATAATTTCTGAATTCTATTTTTCGAATAGTAGTTTGTAACTTTACAAGAAAAAAAAAATCATACTCTGAAGAGAAGACGTGCACTAAGTAAGAGCTACTTTCTAATAAAAAATTCTATAAAAATAGTAACTAAGAAATCTTGATTGTTGCATCTTTAAAAAATCATTAGTAGAATTTTTAATATGTAAAATTTTTTTTATAAATTTTTTTCTATTTATTTTAAAGTAATTTAAAATATAAGTTAAAATTTCCACTTTTATTATTTTTCTTGAAAATTAGCCAAGTTTAAGGTAACAAGTGATTTTATGGGAAATAACTTAGTATGTTATTTGAAGAAGAGACTAAAATTTTGATAAATCTAGATTCTTTTTGTTTATATTTTATGACTTTAGAAATAAGAAAAATATTCTTTTATAATTATTAATCTAATAATAATATTAATATTAAATAATTATATATATTTAATGATAATAATTAATATTTATAATATTAAAAATTATCGAGTTTTTATTGTCATAAAAAAATTAGATTACAAAATCTTTAATTAATTATAGTAGATCCTAAATATACAGAAGATTTGAAAAGCAATAGTTTGTATTTAAGTTTTTAAAATAGGTCTTCAACTAAATAAGCACAATGCAACAAAAAACTCTTATAATACCATGAATCATGTATAATTATAAGATTCAACTCAATTTAAGAAAAATAAAGAAACTATTTGATCAAGTAAAGAAATGATATTTATTAGTACTTTTAATTTCTTAAAAGTCTACTAAAATCAATTTAGATCAATTATGCTAATCTCTAAAAATCCTTTTTAATTGGTCCATAACAAAGATTCTACTTACTTCAAAATAGAAAATAGTACTTAGGGGTAAACAAATTATAATAACACCAATGCTTTTTTGTGCTAAAAATTAACAAATCCTCTTAAGACAACATATTGGTTAATAATGCTACAAGTATTTCAATATATAGTAATGTATAACAATCTTTTGATATAAACTATACCTTATAAGATAATGTATAAGATATTTTAAAGAATTGAAGCACCATTAAATTGATTTGGCTCTAAAATAGATGGATTATTTTCTTAAGGATCTTAAATCCATATCTTTTAATATTCAAATATTACCTAATTAAAAATTACATTAAATATGTACAAAATCCATATGATATACTCTTATTATAAAAATATAAATTGAATAGGATTAATATATAAGTATTTAGACATACTTTGTAGAAGGTAGTAGAATACCATTTATTAGAAGTTGCATTAGAATATGGTTATATTAAAGATGGTACTACAAAAAATAAGAATATATATCCAAATAAGTCCTAACATTTAACATTTTATTTTTTATTTTAATTTTTTTTTCCTTGAAAATAAGATAACTTAGATAATATTAAAAAATATAATTTTAAGTATGATTGGCAGTACAAATATCTATCTACAAATAAAAAATATAAAAAAAAATTAATTTTAAGATGAACGCTATTATAATAGAGAGAATTTGCTTCAAAAAAGCCTTGGGCCTTTAATTGCTATTAATTACTCAAATAAGTTGCAAATTTATAAAACAAAAATCTTATTTATAGCTTATTTTTATTAAGATAATTACTTTAAATGTATAAATCTTAGATGTAAAAGAGTTCCTAAGGTGTGAGTAGATATTCTAAAACCCCTTCTATTTTTATGGAGATTCCTATCAATTTTGTATAACCCAATAACTCTTAATCTAATTGTTTAGTCAAACTCAAACTTCCCTATAGATTAATTGATATCCTTAACTACCTCCACAAAAAAAAAATCATTTGTATTTTTATTACAAATCTTTAGATATTTCTTAATTTCTAGTAATATTAAATATATCAATTTTTAGACACCTATGCACTAAATCTACTATATTTTAAAAATCCAATATTCAAATACAATAAAATTTCATACACAACTTCTTAATACAATTATCTACACTTGCAGAAATTTTGAGCTATAATTTTTTCCACAAACTTAAGATATGGTGCAAATTAAAACCTCTATGAAAGAACTCACTTATTACCTCTAGTTTTGAAGCAATGACTTCCAACTGCTCTTTTTCTTTTGTTCCAAATCAAAATTTATCAATTCTTTTACATAAAATATAGTTTCTTAAGTCAACTTTTGAACCTCACTTTTCTTTTTCCAAAAGCTCTTATACAACTTCTTATACTCCAAAAAGGTGGTAATAGATACAATTTCAAGATCTTAACTTCAAGCACCCATTTCTATATTATAAAAGTTCGAAACCTCTTGATTTTTGCATAAAAATTATAGTCTTCAATACAAATAAACAAACTCTAACTTTTGAACATTGAATGTTTACCTTGAATTAGCTTCAAATTCTAATATGGTTTCTAGTAATATCTTAAAGTCCATTGGACATGACCTTCAACCAATAGAAATAAAGCCATCGATCAACTTGCCTTATTCTTCCACATAAGATGGTCTAAAAGTTAAAATATTATACTTTTGATATCAAAGTCTCTCTCAACTCCTTACCAATAAATCTTATAACTTTTATCTTTAATTATAAAATTAAAATTAATTAATTTTTTATAAATTTAAAAAATTAAATAAATATTAATTATTTTTTATTATTTTATTATTTTTAAAAAATTAAAATCCAAACTCTAATAATATTTCATATTATTTTTACATATTATATTACTTTCTAGCAGGACATCTACCTCCTCCAAACTTTTACATTCTCCAACATGTATCAATCTAATCATTTCCAATATCTTCATCATTTTTATTTTTTTTTGTATTTCTCATTTGGTCCAAATTTAATGTTTTAAAATTTGAAAGATTACTTAGAATAAATCTGCTATTTTTTCTTTTGAATGCCTTGATTTATTTTTCAACCACAAGTATTATCAACATCATACTATTTAATTCATAAATCAAATAGGTGGCATTATCACTACTATATATGGTCCAAACAATCTTTAAGCAAACTTTCTAAAAGTGCTATGTTGATCCTCTAAACTACTATCAAATACTAACATTCAATCACCAACTTCAATTGATATAGATTTCAAATCATGAGTTTTGTCAAACCTCTCTTTGTTGCTTAATTTAATAACTTTTTAAAGACATGAATTGAAAAAAGATGCATCAACCTAAGAAATTTGTGTCAAAAGAAAAAAACAAAAATAAAAATAAAGAAGTATGTATATTAAAAAAAATTAGAATGGCTATTTCTAAAAGACAAAAAAACTAGAGACTCTTGAAACTAGACTAGAAACAAAAAAAGAATTGATAAGAGTAAAGAAAACTTTACTCTTGCCTCTATATATACTATCTATCTAGGATCTATGTAGCGACATTTTACAGGACCTCCAAAAACATGTTGATTTTGCATGACTTATATCTTGACTTGCAAGGCAAGTTTCTTACATGGATGCTATATAATTAGCTTATTCTACAAGCTACCAATATATATGATATATGGATAGCTTGTTGACCAAGTTTCTAACCTATCAATCAACTACAAACATATGTAAAGTCAAAATAGCATCTATAAAGCTTCTAGTAAGCTTTTCTAAAAGATATTATGAAATTAACCTACTTTTATCTAATTCTACCTATTCATATTATCTAAATAATAATTATAATAGATATATATCTGTAACATTATCCCCCCTTTTAAAAGATGAGTTCTACAAGGACCAATGATCATATGTTGAGGAATTCTACGATGCAACAAATTATATTGGCCACGTACTCTGATCTTTATTATCTTTGAAGATAGTTAATAGGTCTTCTTAATCATAGACAATGTCTTATTTTAATGGGGGAAGACCACCTTGTGATTTGATCATTGTTGAAATCTTTATAACTTTTTTCAAATAAAAAATTTATAATACCATCAAAAGTCGTATCTATCTCCAATAAAATTACCAAACATCAAGAATCTTTTTTCAAGTCGTGATATCAAATGCATAGTAACTTGCCATCTATTCGAGGAAGAACATGTTATTTTTGAAGGTCTTCATTCCTATTACATGGTCTTGAAGGCTATGTTAATTATAATTTCTCATTCGATAAGTCAGCAAATGATGGCTCTTAAATTAAATTTTTTAATTGTTGATTCTCCATCTCATTAATGCTACAGTTATACAGAAACTACAAATAAGGATAGAAGGTAGAATGCAAGCTTTTTTCAATTGTATTTCTATTATAGCAAAGACTTGTTATTCT